GAGGCAAGAGAATGAATACTAAGGAAATCAGAGTAGAAAGGATTCTAGGAAACTGGAACAGAATAAAGATAGGGAGGCAGAGCCAAATTCAGTAGTTCAGGAGCAAACAGAGGCCGTGTGGTAAAAGCATTTGGAGATGAGATAGGAGTAGTCAAATGATTTCAGGTTTATATAGATAATAGCTATATTCATCGACTCAATGGGAATGATGAGCATGATGTTGAGATGACTTAAGTGTAAAATTATGCAGAAATCATATCTGGAAGTAAGATATTTGGATGACTAGGACTATTTTAACTGCTCACAATTGAAAACAGTTCACTAAGATGCCAAAATTTTGACCAGGCACTTTTCTACCCAGGAGGGTACACAAACTAAGAGTTACTGTCGTGTATTGTCCTGTGGCACTCGGTACTCATCTTCCAATAGAAATTTAGAGACCCGCATAGGACTGGTCAGTGGATTCATATGTAGAACAGCACTCATAAAGAAATTACTCCTCTTCCTTGAGTGAACAGTTATCTCCTTTCTCCTAAAGTCAAATGATGGTGAACCCAATAGTAGATGTATACACCACAGAATAAGGAAAGGGGCACGATAGTGGATGGAGAAGGGAATAGCTACTCCAGATGGAGAAGGAATACGCATAGGGATGGGTACCAAAGGCGAAGTAGGTTGATGACTAAAGATGAACACTGTCTCTAGGAAACCACATATATCACCAGGAAGATTTCCCAGTGTCAGAACCTGCTAGCGATACACAGAACTGGATTTAGCTGGCAAGAGACTTAGGCCATATACCTACACAGATACACAAGTGAGTTTGTGAGATGTGAGGGAGGAGGGATAGCTCAAAGCCAGAACTGATTTAAAATCTCTATTCTACACAGTTAGCTTCACAGTTTATGTGGTATTTGTGTTCGTTTTGCAATTAAAATTTTGAATTTGACAAATTGTCAGTGTCTATAATTATTGGAAATTATGCCATGTGCAAACTTCGATGAAGGAGCACAATGATAAGATTTGATACTTCATGGCTAGATATCTGACTGGAATAAAGAAACATTATTTTAAGGTGATTCTCTGAGATATTATACACATATAATCAAACAAACAAGGCACAAAACAATCAACTAAGGGATCAAAAGTCATTAGCTATAAAGAATAATTCAAGCAAAATAATTCAAATAAAGTATCATCTAAATCCTGTTTTCACAAAGTAAAGATTGTTTAACTGTTTTTTTGGTTTAATAAAATAATTGGCTTTCTCAATTAGCAATATCTAAATTCCCCAATCCCTTACCAGAGATATGGTCTCAGATCATCTTCGTTTTGTTCATGTAAGATCTTGTGGGAGAATTAACATTTAAAAAAGACGCATCTAAGTAGCATTGCGCTACTCTCCTAGAAAGCCACAGATCAAGCTAAATAGAAGTACACATGTATACATGACCACATAAAACCGTGTCTTTATAAAAGTCAGTGGCCTACTTCAACTTCAGATATTCTTAATTCAGTACAAGAAATTATCGTATTAAATTCTAAAAGTTTTTTGCAAAAAATGTTTCTGGTGGTATTCAATATATTGGAGCTTCATATGAGATACTCCTTTATCAACTTAAATGGCAGATTTTCCCCCTCTGGTATGTTTTTCTTTTCAATAATGGCAACTGCGTAACTTTGCTTCCCATGCTACTCTTGCTTCCAAAGAGTTCAAAATCATAGCTATAACTCTATCAAAACAAATGTCTGAAACCAGATCTAGAGAATACTTGGTTTTCCGCTTTTTAATTAAGTAATTAATTAATTTTAACATTTGCTTACTGTTGACTCAGCAGTCATGTACTTTGGAAGGGTATTCTTTCCTGACAATCAAGCTCAAGTCATCAGGCTAGAGGGCAAGTGTCTTCACCTCCTGAGTCATGTGGTCTACTCTGATTTCTCAGTTTTAACAAATAATCTGCCTATCTTCTATCTATCTATCTATCTATCTATCTATCTATCTATCTATCTATCTATCATCTATATATCTATCTCTCTAGACTGACCAGCTATATATATACACATATATGAATATTAGTGAAGTTTTCCCCACTGTACACACACACACACACACGTAAGAGGGGGAGGATAAATTCACTAATGGCAACACCTTTGCTTACCCAGACAGCTAATCCACTCACTAGTTTAACAATATTGTTCATGAGTAACACACACCCCAATAAACTGCCCAATAAAAAGCATTGCTTTATTATTAGAGTGATACAACCTCAAGATAACTTTAAGGGTTTCCAGAAATTAATCAGATTATTATAGGTATCTGTGTTTTATCCAGCATTAAAAAACTTGGTACAAGGTAGGGGGTATTTTAGTGATAAAAATCATCCCTGACTAGTCACAGTGGCACTATACCTCTGAATCTTGTGGCACCAGATGGTCATTGTTGTAAAATTGCTAAGTGTATAGAAGGACAATGTAGTAATTTGTTAGCTGATAAAAATACCTGTGGTGAAGCTGCTAACTTGTTATGCAATGCAATATATCTACTGCAGTCTTACAAGAGACTCTCCTGCACAGATATTCCCTTGACTCCGCTTTCACTGTTCTATAAATTGCGACAACCATAACTGATTCACACCCAGGGTGAAGGTTTCTTCTATCCATGGCTTTGGATGCAGAGACAGAATGATTTCCAAAAAATGACAAAGAAAAGGTATTTGAATAAAAGATGAAACTTTTCTCTAAAAAAACCTTTTGTATCTCTTAGAGATACTTTTGAAATGATTAATGTTGCTTGTATATCCTACAACTCTAAGAGTAACTATAAAAAAGGTCTAAATTTATGAATTCTCCCAGTGGAGACTTCCGGTCTCATATTTTCATCTCCTTTCTTTTACTTTCCTTTTTCAAGTTTCTACTAAACTATCATTAAGCCGGGCGGTGGTGGCGCACGCCTTTAATCCCAGCACTCGGGAGGCAGAGGCAGGCGGATCTCTGTGAGTTCGAGACCAGCCTGGTCTACAAGAGCGAGTTCCAGGATAGGCTCCAAAACCACAGAGAAACCCTGTCTTGAAAAACCAAAAATAAAAAAAAAATTAAAAAAAAATAAACTATCATTAAATTTGATCTTTTATACTGATACAGCTTTGTATCTGAATGAGATGTGTGCCTGTGGAGGTCAGAGGTCAACATCAAATGTTCTCTTCCTCCATTGCTCTCCACCTTATTTTTTGAGACAGGGTCTCTCACTAAACCTGGAACTTACCAACTTATTTGACTGGCCAGCTGCTAAGGATTTTCCTTTCTCTACATCCCTACACCAATCCCCACAGCATTGGGTTTACATGCGCACAACACTACTCAGTTTCTATTGTGGTTATTAAAATAGAATTCAGGGCCCAGGCTGTATAGTGGCTTTTGAGCAGCCTGAATAGAGGGCAGACATATTGTGATTTTCTTTCCAGATCTTTAAACAGATACCAATAAGTCTATTTACATATCTATTATCCCTGATTTTGTAGAAGCCTATTCTCATAATGTTTAAACAAAGTTGAAGACCCTCCTTTCATTTTATGCATCTTTATTTCTAGATGTACATATAGCCATGTATATAAAACCTTAGAGACACATAAAGAGTTTAATTGTAGTTGAAACATAGTTTTTGTGAAAGAACTAAAGAAGTCTGTCTGTCTGTTTCTCTCTCTCTCTCTCTCTATATATATATATATATATATGAATTTTTTTGTTAGCCAAGTTTGGCAAGTCTTGACCCAGAATTATTTGGTAGAGGAGTACATTTTCTTTTGAAGATAAATGCCTAATAAACATTTTCAAGAGAACTTATTTTCAAAATAAGATATAGTGTTAAGTGATACCATTTCATTGTCAAAAGTGTCATTTTAAAACAACTGTTTAAGAACAATTTAGCCTCAAAATCCAGAGGATTTTATTTATTTATTTATCTATTTATTTCTATTGTGTTTTGTTGCTTTTTTATTTTTGGGTAAATTTTTTTTTATTTATTTATTAAGGATTTCTGCCTCGTCCCCACAACCGCTTCCCATTTCCCTCCCCCTCCCCCGATATAGTCCCCCTCCCTCATCTGCTCGAAGAGCAATCAGGGTTCCCTGACCTGTGGGAAGCCCAAGGACTGCCCACCTCTATCCAGGTCTCGTAAGGTGAGCATCCAAACTGCCTAGGCTCCCCCAAAGCCAGTACGTGCAGTAGGATCAAAAACCCACTGCAATTGTTCTTGAATTCTCAGTATTCCTCATTGTCCGCTATGTTCAGCTAGTCCGGATTTATCCCATGCTTTTTCAGACCTAGGCCAGCTGGCCTTGGTGAGATCCCAATAGATCATCCCCATTGTCTTAGTGTGTGGGTGCACCCCTCGTGGTCCTGAGTTCCTTGCTCGTGCTCCGTCTCCTTCTGCTCCTGATTTGGACCTTGAGATTTCTGTCCGGTGCTCCCATGTGGGTCTCTGTCTCTGTCTCCTTTCATCGCCTGATGAAGGTTAATATTCATGAGGATGCCTATGTGTTTGTCTTTGGATTCACCTTCTTATTTAGCTTCTCTAGGAACATGAATTATAAGCTCAATGTCCTTTATTTATGGCTAGAAACCAAATATGAGTGAATACATCCTATGTTCCTCTTTTTGGGTCTGGCTTACCTCACTCAGGATAGTGTTTTCTATTTCCATCCATTTGTATGCAAAATTCAATATTTTTTTTTTTTTTTGGTTTTTCGAGACAGGGTTTCTCTGTGGTTTTGGAGCCTGTCCTGGAACTAGCTCTTGTAGACCAGGCTGGTCTCGAACTCACAGAGATCCGCCTGCCTCTGCCTCCCGAGTGCTGGGATTAAAGGCATGTGCCACCACCGCCCGGCTTTGGGTAAATTTTTAAGTAGACAAAAATCTGATACATATATTGAATAACTTTTAGCTTGTAAATATAAATGTTGTTCACATGTATTAAGTGATGTATTGACTTCGATATAAAGAGCACATCTCTTAGGCAGGGAATGTAGCTTGGTTGGTGGAGAACGTGCCCAGGTAAGTACAGAGACCTGGGTTTGATCCTGAAAACCACATAAAACCAGATGTGCTTACTGTTCATCCTAGAGGTGGGAAAGTAGAGGTAGGAGGACCAGAAATTCAAATTCTGTTGACCATCTACTGCTGGGCTACAGCCTATTCTTAAGAGAATTTCATTTCTCCAGTAAGACTCCCTTGGAGAAAACTAAATGTTCCCTTGCAAATGGTTATCAGTTGGAGATAGCTTTAGGTTTAGGGATGAAGGCTTGTGTCCACTTTTCCTTCAGTTCTAGGACCCACATGTGGTGCAGACCCTTGCAGGCCCTGTGCATGCTGCCTCGGTTTCTGTAAGTTCACATGTGTATTGGTCTTACTGAACTTAAAAGGCTGTTTCCTTGGTGTCATCCACCCTGCCCCCTGGCTCTTACACTCATTCTGCCTCCTCTTTGGCAGTGTTCCTTGGACCCAAATGGGAGAATTTGAAAAAAAAAAAAAGCACATCTCTGAAGACACGAGGACAACTTGCCCAGGGTTCCTTGTAATATTGCCAGAGCGGCTTCAATCTCATTCCTCATCATGAACCCCGACTTCTTGCCCTGCTCATCTGAGCTCTGGGATAACTGGTCAAGTAATACAATCAATCAGTGTCCTTTCCTTCCCATATATAATTTTAATAGTCTATGTGTGCTACAAAAGATTTCTTTCTGTTAAAATTTCATAACTCGTAGAGTGAGAGACAAATAAAGAATTCCTTCATGTTAGGCAAGAGTTTGAACACCACGAGAGCACAGAGGGGAGAGGCTAACCCTCTTTGTGGGCATCAGAGAAAGCTATTATCAGAGAAAGAAATAGAGTGTCATTAATATTTGTAAATGACCTGACTTTTCTAGAGCAACAATGACACATAGTTTTAAGATGTGAATGTTTTTCTAATCTCTGTTGTGTTTCCACTACCTGGCTTATAGTTAATTCAAAAGGGAAAATTTCATTTATATGCTTGACTGAGTAGAAAATGTATCAGCTTAGTGTTTAAAAAGCATCGGTGTTAGTTCTTGTTGGGCAGTTCTCTTAACTTAATTAAACCTGGAAGCTTGAGGAGGCTGAGAAGGGTAACACCTAACCTTGCCTTTTTATATATTTAAATAACTGAACAGTCTAAAAACCCTGTTATGTTGCTATTTTAAAAGTAGCTCAAGATAGTAGCTTTGAAGTTCTTACTCCTCGAAAGTGCTTATGGATTATTCTTGTTGTTGCTCTCTATAAACAGTGTCTTCGTCGCGCTAGTCATACAAAGTCTCCGCACTAGCCAAGACTCGTCAGACTGGTTCTCTATGGATCATCAGTGACTTCTTTCTTCACCTCACTTTATCCTACAAAGCCAGGGATGAGCCCAGCCGAGGCAAAAGCTCAGTCGCGGACCAGCCACCCCAGGTCTCGGATCTTGCTAGTCAGCGATGTATCGGTGAGTTCCTGGCTCCTTCCTACCCAGCAACTTGTGGTCTGCAGTGGTCTGAGGCACTCAAGGACTTGTGAGTCTCCAGCTGATGATATTTTGTATAGTTTTTACATGACATTATGCCAAGTAGGTTCTTGTCTTTCCCGTAGGAATGTTCCCTCTCTGTCTATTTGTTCATGCTCAGAAGAGTTGTTCAAAATGTCAAGGAGACAGTGATGTACTGCTATGCTTAGTTTGCTTGTTTTGGAGAAGAATAAAATGTTTTTTTTTAAATTTAGGCTTTATTGGTATAAATTATGAGAGTATATACTTATTTCAAAAAGTATGTACAAGAATGTAAAAGTGAGATTATGTTGATTAAAGTTGTTTACGTCCCTACGTTGTCTAAAACTGGAAAGTATAAAATATTTTGAAAGAATAAGAAGCAATTTAAGATGACTTCTTTGAATAGCTAAATTGTCATAACTAGATTTAAAAATCAATCCAATGAGAGACGTGGTAGTTCAGGGGTAGAGCATTTATTTGACTAGTAAGAGACTCTGGGCTCAATACTCAGCACTGCACACACATCCAACTCCAGTATACCTTACCACAACAAACTTCTCTATTGTTTTATTTCAATGTTAGAACCTAAATAGTAACAAAATTTTAGTCTACTAATTTGGATTAAAAATAATCTTAATTTAGTATTAAAATTTATTTTCTCAAACATATTTGTAAATTTCTTTTGATTTATGCTTGATGAGTAAGTATTTTTAACACTTTGAGAAGAAAATATAAAAAATTCAGTGGAGTCTGTGCCTTTGATGCATAAGAAAAAAGCCTGATTTTGTCACTGGTAGAAATTCTACATGTATTTCCTGAGAAGTTGGCTATTCCTCTAGTATCTCAAAGAGGCAACTAAGAGCTGCAGATCTTGCAAATATAGTGATGTCTTCTTTATACAAGCATTTTAGTAACCCATGAGGCTTTTTGTATCTTTTGTTCTTCCTCTCAATCACTGTAAGAATGTTACTGTAGAATACAGTACTTCATTAACTATAAGAACATTACTATAGACTATAGGGCTGGAGAGATGGCTCAGAGGTTAAGAGGTTCTGAGTTCAATTCCCAGCACCCACATGGTGGCTTACATCCATCTATCATGAGATCTGGTGTCCTCTTCTGGTGTGTGTATACATAATAGATAATTTTTTTTTAAAAAAAAGAATATAGTAACTTCAAGAAAGTCTCTATCCAGTTCACCATACTTCCAGATCTTGCTTGTGTTAGATCTGACTGAATCTGAATTTGATTCTAAATGTGTAGAGACACTGCAATGAAGCAAACATTACAGTGAATTCTGTTTCTATAATTTATCTCTAATTTAAAACCAAAGATGTGCTAATTTTTAAAAATCATATTTCAGGACTGATGAGTTTACTTCTCAAGTAAACAAACAAAAAATTCCAAATCAACTAACAATCAAAAAAATCTCCCCAATTTGAAGGTTTAATGACTGATGAAGCAAACTATGTGAGAATGGGAGCAATACTGGATGAGATAGCAAGGGAATGGGCTGAGATGGGAAGGGATTGGACTTAGAGCACAAGTTTTCAACAGGATTGCTATGAAGAAATAGGAATAAATATGAGTTGATAATTTCTGTTTGAGGACTTTGCCTCTTTTCTAGAGCATAGAAGAAACAGCTGGAGAGTTGTATTTACATTCACATTTGTCATTAGCCAAATTCTGAGAGCCTTCTTCCTATCCCACCTATATGAGAACCGCCCTTTAAGAAACTTAAGGGGAAGGAAATAATTTGGACTGGGTGAAGATTTTTCCTCTTTAGCCTTCATTTTCTTCAAATAGTTATGCTATATTATTCTCTGAGCATGAAGAGGTCAACATACAGATTTTATAAACACACATAAAAGAAGAAAGTCAAAGAAACCCTCATTGTAAGGTTATAAAAGGAGGCCTGGGAAGAGAAGATATTTCTTAAGTATTTTATTTTCTCAAATCATTTACCAGTAAATGGATCAAACTTATAGGAACTAATACCTATGCTTTTTACATAGCTGAAGGTGAACTGAGTAATATTCAAATGAAACAGAATAGACAGCTCATTTTCACTTACAAACTTCTCAAAGAGTGGCCCATGTACTCCCTCCCATTAGAATCAACAAGCACTTAACAAAAGTAGAGTTATTTAGCCCCACGCCACAAAGCCTAATAAATCTGTGGTTGAACCACGAGTTAAACATTTTCCCCAATGAAATCTCAACTCCGTCATGTTTGAGAAAACAACAATGTAGTGTAGACGTAAAGGAAGGAATATGTGAGGCTGGTAAGAAAAACAAAGCATAAATGAGACAGTTGTTATTCAAAAGAAGTCACCCTGTGCTCTATTTAAATTGAAATAATTATGTCTTAATGAGAGGTGCTCTCTCCCTGCTCACCTTCCCCTTCAAAGGAGATGAGCACTTATTTATGCAGCACAGTGGTGATTACGAAAGAGAGGATAATTTCTGAAGGTATGGAAGCTAAGGGAAGGTGTTGCCATCTTTGGGTGGTTTATGTCAAACAGGGAAGCAGGTCTTATTTTCATCTGCAAAATAGGTTTGTTTGCAGGAAAAACTTTATCATACAACTACGCCACACCTGGAAATTAGTCAGCAGTGATATTGAAAGGAATTTTCGATGACAGATAGGTTCAGAGTTGCAACAGGACTGTGATACAAGAGTTCAACATACGCTCATTTCTCTTTCAGCTAAGATCGGTCCAGTTCATAGAAAATGTTTTTCTAAGTTTTCGTTGCGATGAGCCTTATGTGGATTTATATTGTGTATCTTGTAAAATGAGTAATTCCATTGAGTAATGCTCTCCTAAGTGACTATTATTATAGCTCTTTTTAAAAGATAAGGTGGTGTGGTTCAAGTGGTCCGGGCTCCCTGTGGAATCTAGTACTTGCACCTGTAGTCTGAAGTGTAAGTCCTTTTACCCAGAACAGAGTGTTGTCACAGGTGGTAAACGAAGGCCCCTTTAGGCATTGGAGAGCTTTACCAAAATGGAAAAATCCTCCCCCATATATCCACGTGGATAAACTATGTATGGATAAACTACGCAGGTCAACAGACAGACGGTATGTAAAGCCAACATGAAATTGTCTACATGTGTGCTGAAAATGAGAGGCTGGATTATAATTTTACTTTTATGTTTGGATTTCTACACATCTTCAAAGAGTCAACTATCTTACTTGTGTCTAAATTTTGCCTTCTATAAAATGAACATGTGACCTAATTTCCCTGCTGTCTTAACGGTGACCAGTGACTGTGAGCATAGCATTTATATGTCATCAATGTCTCTACGAATGAGTTCATTGGTCAGAATTCACTGTATCTGTCTTTTCCTCTGAAATGAGATTGGTTGTTTTAAAGCGAGAACAATTTGAAACATCAGCACTGAGTTTTATACCCAGCTCTGATAGCGTTCTAGCGTCAGTGATTGTGGAGTAGTTCTCCTGAGACATTACGTGGAAAAATGGGTTCCATGACTGTTCAATGGCTCTATCAGTGTTAGGGTTCAGAAGAACTATATTAATAGTTTTACTCTCGTTGGGTGAGGTGACATTCAGAAAGCTGAGGCTGTAGGATTGTTTGGGTTCAAAAGTTTATGGACATCCTGGGCAATATAGTGAAACCTCAGCTAAACAAAACACAACAAGATAGAATTCATTCCAGCATATTTTTTTTTAAGCTACTTTGTTGAAGATAATGGGTGGTAAATGAAAAGAATAATTTCTCAGGTCTGAGATCAGTAGAGCAGGGGTCAAGGAGGACAGAAGGCTGAGAATGAAGGTGGGCTGCAGCATTAAGACATGGCGTCAGGACCTGCAAGCCCGACCTCTCTCCAACTACACACTGCAGCATTAAGACATGGCGTCAGGAGCCGGGCGGTGGTGGCGCACGCCTTTAATCCCAGCACTCGGGAGGCAGAGACAGGCGGATCTCTGTGAGTTCGAGACCAGCCTGGTCTACAAAGGGAGTTCCAGGACAGGCTCCAAAGCTACAGAGAAACCCTGTCTCGAAAAACCAAAAAAAAAAAAAAAAAAAAAAAAAGACATGGCGTCAGGACCTGCAAGCCCGACCTCTCTCCAACTACACACACATGGCTTGCGTGGGAGGGTGAGTTCTCAGGGTTTTCAAATAGTAAGTCTAAGATGATAAACTAGTTTATGGGAAATCCAAAATACCACTGGAGCATCATTAAATTTTACCTAGCAATGTTTCATCTGAAGATGTCAGATGGCATATGGTATTTTGAATCTGAATAAGTAAACACAGAGGAATTTTGCACTTTGTCTAAAGTTAAACCCTGAGTCAGAGCACAACAAAATAATCATTGCTATCATTTGAGTATACTGTGTAGCAACTATCATTCTAAAACATTACTTGTATTTAATCGTTATAACAACCTATGGTTATATTGTACTCATTCTATACTTGGGGGAAATAGAGGCTTAGAGACATACCATTTTTATTCAATTGGTAATAATGAAAGAACTGAAAACAAACACATGTCTGTAAGACTCTAAAACCTATGCTTTAATCACAATGCCGATCATCCTTATTGGGCCTTTCTGTTCATTTATGTGAGCTCTCTAGGACCAGTTTTACTGTCTTACCATGTTAAGAAATAGAAAAGTTATACTTTGAAAGAACGAATCAGTTATTCAATAAATGTTCTTTGAAATTAGCTCCTGCAACAGGAAGCATGAAAATTCCATTGTGCAAAGGGCACGGAACACAGCAAGATTAGATAATTTGCATATGGCTACAGGAATAGGTGAGTCAGTCAGTGCTAGAGATAGAATCTGACCTCCCAGTGCACCTGTGCTGTGCACGGTTCAGGAGGAGAGACAGATTAGTGTGGGCTAACTACACAGCCCAAGCTATTGTTGTGACTAATACTATTAGAATGCGGATAAAAATAGATGACTCTCTTAAAAATTAACATTATTCATGTGTTGTATACTTGTTGATTTGAAATACCTACACATTATAAGACAGATAAATTGGGCAAATGAGCATGCCCAGCTCTTCATGTAGATGATTACTTTTAGTGAGAACAGGTAAAATCTAGCCTCAGTATTTTTCATGTATATGATTAAATCGTTAAGTTATTATTAGATGTAGTCACCATGTGGTAGCTCCCTTGACCTTCTTCCTTCTAGCTAACTGGAAATCTGTTTTATAAAGCTAGACTGAATATTGAATGTTTGTCAGGCCACATGTCACAAAATGCAGAGGATACATGCAGGAGGAATAAAAACACTCGCTGGTAGATAAAGATTCCAACATGTGTTTTGTCATTTGTTGCCTTCTAGCAACCCCGCGAAGCTGCTGATTTCCATACTAGATGGCAGTATATACAGGGAAACTAGAGATTAGTGGGGCTGAACCTTCCTTGTCTCTGAGTCAGAGAGGAGTGGAGCTGAAGGTTTAACATATGTGTTCTAACTGCAGCTCTGTATTTACCGTCCTCCCTCCTGTCTCTCACATGTTGTCAATCTTGGAGTCATAAGGCCTCCGTTGGCTAATCAGAGTTCATTTTCCTTGTCCTTTTAAAGATTTCATTTATCTTTACATCTCAACTTTTCTAATCAAGAAAAATTCCAAAACAGTAAATTTAATATACATCGATGACGCTGTAAAACTGTCATTCAGGACATATAGTACAGTAAAGCTGTTGTTAGGTGCTTCTTACCTTGTTGAGCACTGGTTCCGGGAATTCAGAGTTCTAACCCTTGCACTAAACTGTACACACCTTAGCTAGCAGGAGGTAGCTGTATGACTTCCGGGAGCCTAGCGCTGTGTTGACCCTAAAATCAGTGCCTTTCTACAATTACTTTTTCAAACTTAATTGTTCTCTGCTTAAAGCTGGTCTCCAGTGCAAGAAAAGAATTGCTGTGGATGGATTAGGACCAGGTCTTGGAGATTCCTCTCTTCTCCTTTCGTAAACCCTCATGTGCATGTGAGGCCACTTGAAAAGAAAATTGATTTTGTATTATGGAAGAAATATAGACAATAGTTAATAATTATTGAGTATTTAATATTTGATTAGAAAGGTGCCAGAACCTCTATAAATTTTTCCATTTGATGTTGGAAGATTCTTATGAATTGGGTTATAGCATTAGTTCAATTTGTTAATGGGGAAACGTAGACTCAGGGAGGCAATCATCTTCCCTAGTGTCACCTAGTTAATGAAGGGCACTGTAATGGACAAATCCAGGCTATTCATAGTCAAAAAATCCACGTCTTAATCTACCAGATAAAGAATGGAAACCATTAGCTTGAAGTTACAGAGCTTATAACAGGAGATTATTTTTATTTTTAATATATAGAATAGATTATTTTTATTTTCTTATTTTTTTTGCTTGTGAACCTAGTGTTTAATGACTGAGCTATCTCTCCAGCCCTATGTTTATTTTCTTAAGATCTTTAAAATACGTGCGAATGTTTAAAGGAAAATTTACAAGAGTATAGGGATTTCAAATAAAATGAACTGAGTCTAACGCATCAATCATTACATTGAATGTGATGCAGTCACATGGTCTAGATCAGTGTTTCTCAACCATCTTAATGCTGTGACCCTTTAATAGAGTTCCTCAAGTTGTGGTGACCCCCAGCCATAAAATTAACTGTGTTGCCACTTCATAACTGTAATTTTGCTACTGTTACGAATCATAATATAAATATCTGATATGCAGGATGATCTTAGGTGACCCCTGTGAAAGGGTTGTTTGACCTCTAAAGTTGTTGCAATTCACAGGTTGAGAACCAATGGTCTAAATACTGAAAGACTAGGCTGAAGGGGAACCCAGCCTGTAAAGGCATGGTGCCAAGCCTGGTGTCCTGAGTTTGGTCCCCAGGCCACACATGATAGAAGGAGAGCTTTGACCTCTGGGAGTTTTCCTTTGATTTTCATACACATAGCATGTATGCCCTTCCCTGCAAAAAAGGTGAATGTAATTTTAAAATGTAAACATGAATACATACTGAAAAAGATTTTTCAGGTGGGATTAAGTAAAAGAAGAGAAAAAAGACCCATTTTCCTTCTATAAGAAACCCACACTAAATATAATAACATAGAAAAGTTAAACATATGATAAAAACCCAAATATCAAGCAAACACTAATCAAAGATGTATGTAAATATGTATATTAATCTCAGAGAAAGTAGACTTTAGAATGAAGAACATGACTGGGGATAAAAGGCTAAATTGACCAAAAAGATAGCAGTCCAAAATATGTTTACTCCAGCACAGAACAGAAGTTCAAATAAATAAAACACACAGTGCTGAAGGGTAAAATAGGCAAATCCAGAGTTCCTCCTGGATATGTCAATTCTTTCCCATCACTATGTGACATAAAAAATGGACAGAAACTCAGGTAAAACACAGAGAACCTGAAAACAGTAAAACATTTTGACCTTGTTGACTTGTAGCAAACCCTCTACTCACAAAGGGTAGAGTACAAATTCTTCTCAAATGCCCAGGGTAAATTTACCATGATAGCCTCTATTCTGGTCATGAAACAAAGGACAGTAAAATGCCCTAGAATCAGCAGTGGGCATGCTGGCTTAGAGAGAAATGTTGTGAAGGATGGCCTATGGCTGCAGTTATAGGAAAGGTGTTATCAGATTGAAGCCGTGACCTCTGTTAGGCCATGGCTAGGCAAGATAAGAGCAAGGGGGATTAATATTCAAAGCCCTTACCTCTGACCATCTGCTGTAATGAGAAGATTCTAATTGGGACTTCAGTGTCTTGAAATGTTACTACTAAATTTATTATTTGTATTTCAGAAATTGCACCTCTATTAAAAGTCATAAAATAAAAAATATTCTATCATCTCTTTTTCTTAGACAGAAACTTCCAGAAACTTACTAACCATCTATTCTGAGGTTCTTTTCTCCTAAATATGACATAAAATGATAAATACTGTAAGTGATTTGCTCTGTGAATCGCAGTCATATCAGATTTAACTTGGAACAGCAGGGTGAGAATAACTCTAGAGTATGTGAGAAATTTCATTATGTTTAGTGTAAAACAAGTCTGGAGGCCAGCAGCTGTGTGAGGGGAAGAAGATAATTAGATATCTAGACTCTTTTTACCATATTGCTCTACCCAAATTAGGATATAGTTTTTAAGGTATGAACTAATAAGGATACTTAATCTTCAATTAATTAATTAATATATATTTTAGTTATAAAATATAAATCAAGATTCTAGCCACCAAAGTAGATTCCATTGGTATCTACTTATTCATATGGTGAGTCTCTCTCTCTTTCCCTCTCTCTCCCTCTCTCTCTCTCCTCTCTTTTTGTGGTACTCAAAATTGAATCTAGGGCCCCAAACATTCTAAGCAAGAATTTGATAACTGAGATATCTCCCTGGCCTTCATTTTAGTTTTTAAAGTTTGAGAAATGGTATCATTAAGTTCTTCAGGCTAGCTTCTGAGTATTTGGAATTACAGGCATGTGCAACCAGACTTGGCTTCAAATGGTGGCTCATATCAATAAAGAAGACATTTATTCTGCAGGTTGCCATGTTCCCATTTAATTATCAGGATTTATTTATTAAAGAAAAAGACAAATCCTTGAGATAGGTGTTTAGGAGTCCCTACCTATGACATAGGGGTGGAATCATTGTGGTAAAGAGGAGGCAGGGGGATACCTAGCTCTAAAGTTGAGAAGTTGATTCACAGCTATAGATTTGATAGCTATGAGTTTGTAGATAAAAATTAAAGTCATGGATGTGGTTAAATAAAACTATTGGGTTCTTCTGATTAGAACATTTCTTTAGCAATCTCAGGGCATTGATGTACATGGAAAAGCTATCTTATTTTAATAAGAATTTAAGAATATTAATGTGTTATTACTAAAATGCTCATACTTTGAAGTATGTCTGAGTGTGTAATGATCTACTTCCAAAATCATTCAATCTCTTTGGAATTTTAGTTCACATTTGTTACAGGTCACTGTGGCAAGACATTTATTAATTAGGTAAATCTACTTCATTTGAACAATCATATAAATATAAATAGGGCCCATAATTTTCCAATAGCATGCTACTGCTAAGGGTTTTTAAATAAGGTTTCAGGACGCACCAGAGTTTGTACATTGTCTGGGGAATCCTTGGTGATGCGTTTTTCTGCTTCCTCGGGAAATGGTGCCTAGAGCACAGTGCATAGCTTGTGTTCTACCTGGCAATCCCAGGGTTAAGCTTTATTCAGAGCTTAGCTTAGAAAATTTTAAAACCAATTTGGAAAGCAAGTATTGAAAACTACAAGTATTTCACAGATTTGATGTTTAATTGATATTTATCCATGTAATATTTTCAGGGGCCTTTTATTTTAAATTAATGTTGATGGAGGAAGGTCATTGGCTAATAAAGGAACTGCCTTGGCCCATTTTATTGGTTAGAAGATAGATGGGAGGAGTAAACAGAACAGAACGCTGGGAGGAAGAGGAAGTGAGCTCAGACTCCACAGCTCTCCTCTCGGGAGCAGACGCCTGAGAGAGACGCCATGCCCCGCTCCCGGGCAGACACACGCCATGAAGCTTCGATCCAGGATGGACTAGGCTAGAATATTCCGGGTAAGACCGGTTCTCACAGATTATTAGAGATGGGTTGATTGGGATATCAGAATTAGCCAGTAAGGGCTAGAGCTTTAAGGCCAAGCAGTGTTTAAATGAATACAGTTTGTGTGTTGTTATTTCGGGGCATAAGCTAGCCGAGCAGGCGGCCGGGGTGCTGCGAACGCAGCCCCGCCGCCCCTATTACTACATAATGTAAAATGCAATTTATGATAGCTTAAAAATATCGACTAGTAGAGACCTGTTAAAAATTAAATGTAAAAGTTTCTTAACTTCCTTCTTATACATGTTTCCTAAAAATAAAACTATTGATAAAATTAAGAAAAAATGACTTGTAGTCTCTTAAGTCTCTTAACTTGCTGGAAATTATGTCAAATTTTCTGATATCAGAGTCAACAGAAAAACAGTACATTTGAAACATATGAAGACTGATTAATACATGGAACACTGCTTTTAATAATGCTAAACCTTTTTTCTGGATTATATGAAATATTGAGCATTAATTTTTATGGATCTTAAAAAGGCAATAAGGTAAATTTTTTTATTATCATTGATTCTTAAAACATTAAAACATATGACACCATACTGCAAAAGGCTAGGATTCTTGAACTACTGTGATTTTGAATATTAACTCAGATTTTTCTTCCAAGTAAGACTAAGACCCAGTCACTTGTCTTCATGTTTATGGCCAGTTTACCTTGTCCAGTAAAGCTCCCACAGGGGGACTAAAGTCAAAAGTCTTAATGCAGATTTTGTAGAAACATTACAGAAAGTGTTTGAATGTCTGAAGCTTTGTGTTAGTAGCGATAGGGAGGTCTCCAGCTCAGATTCCTCAACCTTCCTTCTATATACCTCTCCACATACAGTATCATAGGCAAGCCTGGTAATTCTTGCATTGCCCTGTTTTCTGCGGTTCAGTTCCCCAGCTCTGGCTGCCATGGCATACTTTGTTTGTCCTGCTGTAGCAAACTGTGGCTTTTAAAGGTCCCCCATGCCAGTTTATGATCCCGAACAGAAGTCTATGAGGAAAGTAAACATTAGTTTTGAAGCTTACAGTAGATCAACATATGTGCAATCCTATACCTAACTACTGAATGACATATTTTTAAATATTTGTGCCCTATTTATCCATAGTTATAAATTTCTAGAGGTTAGGCAAAGTGTCAACATGCATACCAATTTGTGTTAATCTAAGTATAGCCTATAGAGCTGGCAAGTTTATAATGACATTGATAGTAGGGTCATATCGATCAGATCAAGTCCCCATTGTAGAGCCACTTTTGGTATTTGCATAAAACACCTATCAAAGTCTGATGCTATGACATGCAGTCTTGCCAGCATTACCATAAAGAAATATCA